CTTAGCATAATGTTTTTAAGATCCATCTATAATGTAGCATTTGGGAGCTCCATGGCTCCAGATGATAAGCACTGGACTGTGAACCACAAGGTCCCAAGGTTCAAACCTAGGAGCCGCTTCCTGGAGAAAGATAAAGCTTTCTGCTCCCATGAAGATTTACAGACTCTGAAACCCTATACAGGGTCCCTATGAGTCAAAATCAACTCGATGGCACTTAATAACAGCAGGAAAATACAAACACATACATATATACATATGTATGTTAAGTGCCGTCTAGTTGGTTCCAACTCATAGCAACCCTATATAGGGTTTCCAGAGAGTAGCTGGTGGGTTTGAACTGCTGAACTTGCGGTTTGCAGCCCATTGGTGATCTTACAGTGCACATCAGAAGTCTCATATATGTGTATGTATGTATGTATATGTGGACTCCTGGTGTGGAACTATAGAATCAGCACTGGGCTGCAAACCACAAGGTCAGCAGTTCAGACCCACCAACTGCTCCAAGAAAACTCTATACAAGGTAAGGTCACTGTGAGTCCAAACAAACTCAGTGGCACTTAACAGTAATAATGTAGTATGTATCAGAACTTCTAAATGTGTTTTTAATTCTTTTTATAAAAAAGATCAAATAATACAAGTAAAATGAATTCTCTCTTGATTACCTCTTCCATCCTCAGTGGACCAAGAGATGATATAATTTGAGTGGAGAAGTGGATGGAACTGGTAAACTAGAACATATGCTTCAACTAAAAGGAATAACCATTACTGTATTGGGATTGTTATGTATATTTTTGTGTTTTTGTTGTTCTCAAGAGACGTTCCAAATTTGGATCTCTATGTTAAATCTCCCTATTTTTAAATGTTGGCCACTAATTACAAAAATCAGTATCAACAATGTGAATGAAACAAAACCGTGCTTGAGGGTCAGATTTTCCTTACTGGTCACCTGTCTGCAGCCTCTGCTTCCTCCTGAGGTAGTCACATCCTTTTCTACAACCAAGTTATCCTCTCCATTATAATCCCAAATATATATTTGTTCTTCTGGAAGTACATAGTATATTCAGTATTATTCTCCAAAACAACACCATAACTCAGAGGCATCAATTCTTCTTTGATGCTTTTGAGTTATGGTGTTGTTTTACCTACCACTATTCATTGTATTTGAAATTAAAACAGAAAACTTAAGGTATTTATTTAAAAATAACATATAAGCACACTACATGTTAACATAAATCAGTTAATCTTTATGAAAAACCACTATAGTCCAAAATTTTAAAAGGTTACTAAGAAGAATGGCATTGTTTTATACTTTCACAAATCTCTTTATTGTCTGGCTTAGTAGAAAACAGCTGTATTCTTTTAACTGCTTCTAAATGCAGGCTGGAGTCTTGGTGTGGGACTCTGGGATAATGCAATGGACTGCAAGGTCATTTTAAACCACAGGGTCAGCAGGTCAAACTCACCAACCACTCCTTGGAAACCTTTTATTGGGTTGCTATGAGTCAAAACCAACTTGACGGCACGTAACAACAAATGCAGTGTGTTGTGATATGTTGCTTGGTTGAAGTTTATGAAGACAATCCAACCTATTGGGAAAAGAAGTATTTAATAGCCTTTTATGAAATACTGTTATATTCTTTGAAACGACACAAAGTGACTGCCAAATGCCCAACTTGAGTAACAATGTGTTGCTCATCCTTTCAAGTAAAAACTCGGATCTCTGAGATCCAAGTGGTTGCCTAAGTCATTTTATTCAAGACAACTCAGTAAACTAGTATTTTTCAAAAAATCAGTTGGTTTCATTGTAACAGAATGAAAAGTCCATAGATACATGGTCTTAGATTCTACAGTACACCTAACTTCTAAGAACTTAATTGTTTATGAATAGTTCTATCACAAAGAATAGTAGAAAGGCTGGCATTTCATGAAATTAATAGTTTTTACTGCTTTCTCCAACATGTTAAGTAAAATTAGCTCGTTGGTTGGTTTGTTTAGATTGAGAGTACCTGGTGAAGAAGTCTATAACTAGTAGTCAGTTGGTTTGACCCTCCTTATTTATGCTAAGGTTTTAGTAATTTTGCACCATCGGTGCAAAGGAAAATATTGTTCTGGTTCTTTGAAAATATTTTTGAACTCAGAGACCACTGGAGTGCACAGACCACATTTAAATAGTTTGCCCAAGGTCACACAGATAGTAAATGGCAGAACTGGTGTTCAAATTCATGCATTCTGACTCCAGACAGCCTCCATGCTTGTAATCACTGTGCTAAGCTGCTTTTCTTGAATGTCCCTTTCATCTCCGGACTTTCAAACACATCGGTCCCTCTACCTGGAGCATTCCTCCAAATCCCACCCCTTCTGTCATTCATTGGGTTCTTCTGCCTTACATTAGTCCTCAAGCTCTCCAAATTACGTGGAACAGCATTCCCGTAACCTTGCTGCAGAACTCCAATGATTTAGGAAGGTGTGCATTTGAGTTTCGTTAAAATTTTGATATTAGTCCTGAACTAAAATCAATTTTTCCATGGCACAAAAAGGTGTTGTTGTTTTTCAAAGCATCCTAATTAGACAAAGTTTGAGACAGATGAAGTCTCGCTATTCTGTCTTCCAAGGAGCAACTTCAACTTTCATACTTCGGACATGGTGTCAGGAGGAACCATTCCTTGGAGAAAGAGATCGTGCTAGTTAAAGTAAGGTCAACTAAAAAGAGGAAAACTCCCAAAGAGATGGATTGGCACAGTGGCAGCAGCAGTGGGCTCGTTTAATGATTGTAAGGATGGCGCAGGACCAGGCAGTGTTTTGTTCTGTTGTGCGTAAGGCCACAATGAGTTGGAATCGGCTCAGAGCCATTTAACAACAACAATAAGGCTCCCTGGTGGTATAATGGGTTATGCGCTAGGCTTCTAATCACAAGATCAGCTTCTCCGTGGAAGAAAGGCAGCTTTCTGCTCCCATAAATATTTACAATCTCAGAAACCCCACATAGGGCTGCTATGAGTCAATCAACTCAAAGGCATTCGGTTTGGTTTTTGGCTATAATAAAACTAAGATGAGCGTATTACTGAGTGAGCTTGTCTGCAGCCATCCATGGATTGCAGATGTGTAAACATGTTGTGTTTGGAATGAATCCTTTCATTATCCATAGTAGCAATGCTTTTGATTTCCACTTGTATCTTTAGGATGTCATAAAGGATTTTTATCAAAGACATAGTGTGAAAGCATTATTTCACAGAGCATTAAACTGACATTGGAATGCAATCTGAAAGTGAGTAGAATTGGACAAACATAAATTTAAAATGCATAACTAAGAGAAAACTTAACAAATAATCTAAGATGGAAACTTCATGAGCCTGTATTACAAGTGTAGGTATTCTGTGAGAAGCTGTTCCTCCACTTTGTTGAACCTGCTCATCCAGTGATCTGTTGCTTCATCTGCATGTCCCCTCTTATATTTCCGGTCATCTTTTGCCCCACTTCTAGCTTTTCTAGAGATGGTCTGATCATTTTCTCCACATATTTTGTGTATTAGTGTTGTATCATTTGTTTCTTTTTACATATATACTCATTGAAGGCATGCTTTTCACTTTCCTTAACTCTTACCTATTACAGAGCTGCCATTTTGTTGAGCACAGAAAACAAAGGAAATTTGCATTTCCAATTTCTTTCAGACTGGGAGGCTAGACCTGAGAGCAAGCAATCAACTTCCATGCAAGATTTTTCCAAAGAAGACTCATACCAGGTTACAATAATAGACAGACTGACAAGTAGTAGTACGTATGACTCCAACTTGGAAACAGCTCTAGATTGTGAAAGTTGGTCAGAGAATCAGCCAGGAAATCAGGAGAGGCATTTGAGAGAAATGTTCACCCATACAACTCCATCCCCCGGGGGAAAAGCTCATGAACATGATGTGCGTTGGAAACCATTCAGTCAAAAGTCTGCCCTCACTGAAGACAGAGTTCCCAAAGGATCCTGTGCTTTTAGTAAACTTGAAAAAAAATTAAAACAGAAATCAAATTTAATGAAAAGGCAGAGAAACCATAAAGAGAAAAAGCCTCACAAATGTAATGACTGTGGTGAACTCTTCACTTACCATTCAGTACTTATTCGACATCAGAGAGTTCACACTGGAGAGAAGCCCTATACCTGCAACGAATGTGGGAAATCTTTTAGCCACAGAGCTAATTTAACCAAACATCAGAGGACTCATAACAGACTGCTCTTTGAGTGCAATGAATGTAAGAAAACCTTCATAGAAAGTTCATCCCTCGCTATACATCAGAGAATTCACATTGGCGAGAGACCTTACGAATGCAGTGAATGTGGGAAAGCCTTTAATCGAAGTACCCATCTTGTTCAGCACCAGTTGATTCATACCGGAGTGAAGCCTTATGAATGCAATGAATGTGATAAAGCTTTTATTCATTCATCCGCACTCATCAAACACCAAAGAACTCATACTGGGGAGAAGCCCTACAAATGTCAAGAATGCGGGAAAGCCTTTAGCCATTGTTCATCCCTTACTAAACATCAGAGAGTTCATACTGGAGAAAAGCCGTATGAATGTAGTGAGTGTGGAAAAACTTTCAGTCAGAGTACACATCTTGTTCAGCATCAGCGAATTCATACTGGCGAAAAACCTTATGAGTGCAATGAATGTGGAAAGACCTTCAGTCGGAGCTCAAATTTTGCTAAACATCAAAGAATCCATATTGGAAAGAAGCCCTACAAATGCAATGAATGTGGAAAAGCCTTTATTCATTCTTCAGCTCTTATTCAACACCAGAGAACTCATACTGGAGAGAAACCCTATAGGTGTAATGAATGTGGGAAAAGCTTCAAATGCAGTTCATCTCTCATCAGACATCAAAGAATTCACACTGAAGAACAGCCCTGAGAAGACAGTGAATGTGATGAAAGTAAGTCAGTTTTATCACTGTTAAATACAAGGTGGCTTCAAAAAAGTTCTTGGAAAAATGGAGTTAACAGATAATGGAATTTTTCCCACAGAATTTTTTGAACCCACCTCCCTCCCGCCCCCCATTACCTGTATGTTTATGTCTTCATGGTTGTGATGTGCCACGGAGTTGGTTCCAACTCATAGTGACCCTGTACAGGGTTTCCAAGGCTGTAAATCTTTATGCGAGTAGGAAGCTTCATCTTTGTCCTGAGCAACAGCTGATAGTTTCGAACTGCTGACCTTAAGGTTCACAGCCGGATTCATAACCACTACACTTGGTAAGAATCCATAAAATATTCATTGAGGACCAATTTTGCATGCATCTACTTTCATATGCATAATGCATAGTTTTAAACCAAGACTGAATGTTCCTTATATTCACTGGTTTGGTATTTATTTACGAAGCCCTGGTGGTAATGTGGGTTAAGTGTTGGGTTGCTCACCCCGCAGTGTCAGCAATTCAAACTCACCAACTTCTCCATGGTAAAAAGATGAAGCGATCTGTTGCCATGAAGAGTTAAAGTCTCAGAAATCCTAAGAATAAGTAGTACTTCTGTTCTGTCCTTGAGTTGGAATAGACTCAGTCACAGTGGGTTTTTGGTTTTCTAGCCAGCAGTCTCAGATTTTAGTCCCCTCCCGGTGTGGAGCCGCAGGTTAATGCACTGAGCTGCAAAGTCAGTGTGAGCCACAACGTCGGTGGTTCAAACCCACCAGCGAGCTGCTCTTCAGAAACCCTATACTACCGTGTCGCTGTACGTCGGAACTTAGCAACAATCCCCAAATAACTCATTTGTGGAAATTCAAGAAATACCTAGGGTGGGTAGCTATAAAGAGGCTTCAAAAAGTTTATAGGAAGTTCTATTATCTTTTAATTATATTTTTCCACAAACTTTTTAAAGTCCCTTTATTATTACAAGTGGTATCACATTTCATCCCTCTCAGTTATAACAAAGCCCTATCATAACTTCTAGTTCTATAAAGAAATTCTTACTTTATATTTATACTACACAAATGTTGGGGGTTTTGTTGTTAATGTTGTTGATAGTTTAGGCTGAAGACACATGTTCTTACTGTCAGGAAGTCAGTTGTTTTCTTAGAATTCAAAGTAAGGATCCAGAGAATATCATTTTTTCTACGTTAACCGTTAAAACTTTAGACTTCACGGTTGCTATCTACTTTGATGAACACAACTGGAATGTATGTTGTCGTTATATGCCATTGAGTTGGTGCTGATTCGTAGCAACCCTATGTAGGGTTTTCAAGAAAGTGGATTTGAATCAACGAACTTGTGGTTAGCAGTCCAGTGCTTATCCTACAGTGCCACACTAGGACTCCAGAAACTGTACAGGATTTCTGAGGTTCTAAATTATGTTCAAATAGATTACGTTGGTTATAGGTTAAGATTGTTATTTCTCCTGTGCTGTATAAAATTTCCTTTCTTTACTATTTCTCTAAAAGTTACAGTGAAATAGTAATGGATCATAAACTTAATTGCAGTTGTTGTCTTACCTTAGCATTGAATGAATCTGTGTTTTTCTATGATCAAAGTAACAGGAAGGCATGATTTCCCTGCATTGTTCAGCTTTCTGCAAAGTATGCTTGAATATTGAAGGGCAGGAAAGTTAATGGGTTCAATATATTATTACATTTAAGGTGCCATCAAGAACTGAAGCAGCTGTTAAGACACCAGGTCATGCCTTCCTGTCATATGTGAGAACAGCTCGTGGGACAGTGACTCACTTGAGGATCAGCAGCTTCCCTCTACGAAGAAGATAGTGTCATTTGTTTGGCTCACGTGTTTACCCACATTTTTATTACATGCTGGTTGAGCTTTGATATGTCCAGAGCTGTAAAGAAGACTCAAAGGAATAAAATCACAATTACATATATATATATTTGACATAAGTAATGAGTGACCAAAGACCAGTGGTGAATTTGAGACGCAAAAGCAAAATTTCAAATAAATGTTTAATGAATCATTATACAAGTGTGTAAGGAGCTCTGGTAGCGTAGTGGTTATGAATCAGGCTGCGAACCGCACGGTCAGCAGTTCGAAACTACCAGCTGTTCCGTGGGAGAAAGATGAGGCTTTCTGCTCCAGTAAAGATTTACAGCCTCAGAAACCATGTACAGGGTCCCTATGAGTCGGAACCGACTCCACGGCACACAACAACATTATACAAGTGTTGGGAGTTTTGTTTTGAATGTTGTTAATTGGTTTTGGTTTTGTTGCCCTCATGTTTGTATGAGAAGAACACTATAGCAAACGGTAGGGAAAAGTAGGCACGGGTTCCTTTTTCCTCTTCTCCTGAAGCTTTATCCTTCACAACTATCCATAGCCAGTCCGTACTCCTTTGTTCTTATAACCTGTTACAATTCTCAGTAGACCTTAGTTCTATTGAGGAAAAGTAGTGAGTAGTTTAAAGAAGTGATGGCAGTGGAGAGCAAGACAATGATGAAGGAAGACTATAGACTTTAATTATAGACTATAATAAATGGTACGGAAATGATTGGGAAGAGATTTGGAATGCTAAAAAACATTAAAATTTGAGGTGGATGGGAAGGTTTAGGGTCTTAGACATCAGAGTAGGAGAATGTTTGTCAGAAACAATACGGAAAACTCTTCCATCACTTTAAAGCTCAGTATTAATGTCTAAAGCAGAACTGCAAATCCTGACCTGCACCCACTGGCAAAGTTTCACTGGACCTCATTTATTTACATGTTTTCTGGACAGAGTTGAGTAGTTGCAAAAAAGATCATATGTCCCCAAAAGTCTAAAATTTTTACTATTTGACTTTATAGGAAATGTTGGCCAACTCCAGAGCTAGAGATTCCAGAATCCGTGTTAGGGGAGTTAAGCTACTGAAATCTAATGGCCTCATCTGATCCTTCATTAAGGACTTCTTGCTGCTAAGTGCTGTGAAGTAGGTTCTAACCCATTGCGACCCTGGCTAGGGTTTCTGAGGAGCAGCTTTTGAGCTTGAACTACTGATCTTGTGGATCAAGCCTACTACATTAACCCATAGCACCACACCAGGACTCACTAGGGACTAAAGACATAATCATTAGAGTAAGGTACACATCTCAAGCAATAACCAGCAGTACCTCAGTCGCCCTGTCAGGTATTTGGTTTTTTTGTTAAGTGCTTGAGTTGGTTCCAACTCATGGTACCCCTGTATAGGGTTTCCAAAGAGCACCTGTCAATCTTGTGAGTCCATATATGAATTGTTAAGTGCCATCTAATCAGTTGCGACCCTGTATAGGGTTTCCAAAGAGCACCTGTCAATCTTGTGAGTCCACATATGAATTGTTAAGTGCCGTCTAATCAGTTGCGACCCTGTATAGGGTTTCCAAGGAACAGCTGGTGAGCTTGGACTGCTGACCTTGTGGATAAAAAGGAAAAAAAAAAAATGCAGTAATGTCAAATGCTTATTAAGTAATAGATGAAAAAAATTTACCATTTGGGGTCCAAATTTTTACTAATGAAATTAATAAGGTCAGCATTGGTTTTTTTTTTAAACTAGGTTTGAATTGTTACCTTACTTGCAGTTACGTGACTGAAAAGCTGTTTATACCAGCTGAGCCCCAGTTTCCTCAAATAGATGAGAATAAATCCCTCTTTCATAAGGTTGCTGTGCGGATTAAATAACATATTGAAGTAGAATTGACTGCAAAGGAGTACGTCGTTCACAATTTTTGTTTACTGATAACGGACCATCCTATTCTCGGGGCACATCCTAGAGGATTCACTTCTGTTTCCATTTGGTGCTGTTCTCTGCACAACCTCTTGAGACCTTGATGGAGCCTGGATTTCTGTTTTACTGTTTTTATCTTTTCTGAGCATCACTTCACCAGGAGGGTTCCTGAGGGTCAACTTGCTCTAACTGTTAGTGGGAACTCTAGTCCCTTGACTTCCCGTATTTGTCAGTTTAGTTTGTTGTTCAGTCTGACCTCATGTTTGCATTTTGATAAGAATCTTTGAAGTTTTAATGTTTAATTCAAATGTTTTAAATTACCTAGAAGCTAAATTTATGCATTTATTGACCCACTATCAATAAAGACCTTTATTGTCAGAAACTTGTACATTTTGTTTAAGTTCTTCCATTCTCACCCTCTTTTTCTGCATTGTTCCTTTTTTTTTTATTTTTTAAGGTTTTTATTGTGGATTGAGTGAAAGTTTTCAGGACACATCATCGGTTTCACATTCAAACATTCATATACCTTGTTTCATTACATTGATTATAATCCCCTCCACATACCATCAGTTAACAGAGTTTCTCTCTATCCTCTTTAGCTTTTTTTTTGGCGGGAGGAGGGAAACTTTGCCTTTTTGGGATTTACAGTCTCAGCTTTTAGGGAAGGTTTTTACATTTATCTGTGGGTATCCAGGGCTCATGTATGGAATTACTAACCAGCATAACTGAAAAATCAGATAAGGGACATTTTGCTATGTCTGCTAGGTGGCTAAAGTCTGATCCTCAGAGCCTATGATTTGGATGGTAAGCAACGCTTGGGCCCACAGGGACTTGAACTCCTGACTGGGTCTGCACGGTCTGCATCAGATTCCCCCTTATTATTTGTTTAAGGTACGATGACTGTCTTAGGCGGTCAGTGCGAATTCCTCAGTCTTAACCCGTCATCAAAACTCATTGCAGCATGGCAATGGCTCTGTCTTAGGTTGCCGAGGTTCCACATGATCCTTGCCCGTCTCTGGCCACACGTTCAGCATAAACAGCTGCTTTCCGAAGAAGGCAGGGAGGAAGGAGACCAGCTGGGGACCCCACACGCAAGATGTTGCCAGACCACCACCTGCTCTAAGACGACCAAGCAGGATCACTATGCTGAGGTTCAACCAAGTTCACAGGGGAACTTAATCTCTGGCAGAGGTAGCAAATTAGTAGCCACTCAGTTCTCAACTTGAGAATTACTTATATCAGAAATTTGAGCATGTAGCTGATGAATATCCACAGACAAGTGTATATTGTTCCACAACCTCCTACAATGCTGTTGAATTAAGTTCCAATCAGGTTCTGGTTAACTGAAAAAATAACACATATCTAGGTGGGCAGGGCAAAAAAAGGTAACAATTCCTATTAGTGCAGTGATTCTTGACCTAAGAGCAAAGACACGTGGCACGTTGATGGGCCCGCAATGATTTGCCTAGCTTCTGAGAATGTTAACAGGCAATAAAACATACAATGGTTGATGAACGATTGCAAAGTCTGTAACATCTGTTAACTCCCCATTCCCCACACCCGACAAGCAAAACGGCAGAAAGTCTCTGGAGTTTAACCAGTTCTCTAAGGGTTAAACAGTTCTTAAAGTCTTCTCTGCTGTGGAAACATATGGCTGACTCGGTGCTCTTGCCGGAGGGGCCTCAGTGGAGATGTGGATGACGTCATTCTTTCAGATGGGTCCTCAGTGAATGCTGGTTCCCTCATGTTCCTTTTTTTTTTGTTAACATAACTCACTACCCCTTAAAGTTCCTGTCTTATTTTTTGAGTTGCTGTTAATTTGATCTCATATAGATAGTTCTTAAAATAGCATAACACTCAGACCTTTTTGCTGCTGTTAAGCGCCTTCAAGTTGGTTCCGACTCATAGAGACCCTGTATAGGGTTTCCAAGGAGCAGCTTGGTGAGCTTGAACCAACCTTGCAGTCCATTAAGCAGACTTGCTCGGTTTTAAAATGACTTCAGGGGATATTTTTGTGTTTAAGGATTATCTCAGGGCAATAGTTTCAGGGATTCATTCATTTAACCACAATTTCAGAAAGTTTAGATGCTGTGTGAATTTGAAATTCTCTTGCGTTTTCTTTTGGATCAGGAATCTTTTATGGAATCTTTGATTTAAATGTTCAGTCATGGTAGCTGGGCACCATCCAGCTCTTCTGGTCTCCTGGCAAAGGAAGCCATTGTTCATGGAGACAATTAGCCACACGTTCCATAGCCTCCTATTTCTAACTGCCATGTCAACAGAGATACTTGGCTCCTTGGTTTGGAATTTTAGGGTCATGGTTTCTTGGAACATCCCAGTTAATTGGCCAAATAGTGTGTTGAGTGCTTCTGTTCTATCTCCTATTGCCTGGGGTCTTAAATGCTTTCAAAAGACCCAGTCACATTTTAATTGTCCATCTGCACCTAACAACTTCTGGAGAGATGTGATTGGGAATTCCCTCAACACCCCACATATCTGCAAGGAGATCCAGTACTTGGTGCTAAGAGTCTTGAAACCAACCTTTCACTTGGAAAGCATGAGAGAGGGGGAAAGGGAGGGAGGAACTTCACACAAAACCACAGTTAAGGCAAATTTGGGGGGTGAGGGGACTGGGTGTAAATTTAGAATTACATCTGGTTTGGGGGAGGACAGTGTATGGAATCCAAAAGTATGTAAATAATAACTATAAAAATAAACATTCAAATTACTTGACAATTGTTAACTGGTTCAATTATTGAAAAGCTCTTATTATCTTAGCTGAATGTTTACTCTTCTTTTCCTACCTAACTCTTCTTTTCAAGGCCCCAACTCTTCCTTTCAAGGCCCCATGCTCTTGGGGTCCAGAACTATGTGAGTTGTCCCTCACCACAGATTTTATTGGTAAGGAGGGAAGAGTCTTCCCCTGTGGTAGTACATACAATGTGGCTTGTTTTTTATGTTTTTCACAATGTAACCTGTATTTTGGGGGGAGGGGGGAGGGGAGGTTTAACCTCTGTTCACCCATAAACCAGATAATCTGCCTTAGATTGAGTTACGTATACATAAAATATGCATCTCTCACCCCACTCCCACCAGTTCACCCGCAAAAGGATGTCAACAAAAAGTTCACAAATCTAGGGGACTGCAGTGGTGAAGCCGGGTACTTGACATTGATAATCAAGGACCATTTACCCCATCTCTGCTCCAGCTTCTTCTGCATTAGATAAATTTTCATTAGTCTTTAGTGGTAAAACATCTACTGGCAACTCCCAAGTTGTTATGTTGTTGGTAAGTGTTGTCAAGTCAGTTCTGGCTCATAATGACCCTGTATAGGGTTTCCAAGAAGCAGCTGTTGGGTTTGAACCGCCCATGTTGTGGATGTAGTGGTCCCCAGTGTCCAAATCTCAAAGAGCCTTGTATGGTTTGGAGTTGATCCTGTGGGAATTGGTGGAAGAGAATGAGAAAGAGCTTTGAATTGCTATTTTTAGGAAATGTTAGTAACATGATTAATTTTTAGTTTTTGAAATATCAGCATGGACTTGATTAGGGCAAAGTCTGCAGATGGAGATTCCTCATGAACACCTGGCAATTACTGATTCAAACTCCAGGAGCCAATCCAGGTTGGCCCAAGAAGATCAACAATCAGGTAAACCCCCTCATGTGGACTAGCAGCACTCTGGAGAGCCAAGTGAGCATCCCCATAGAGGTTCAATGAGCCCTGGAGCTGACCGACCTGCAGAAACCAGTATCCCCTAAGGAGAGAGGCCCTTGAAGGCATAGCCCTCATCATAAGTAAATTCAGGGAACACGGACTAATCAGCCAGGCCAATCTCCTTACATATCCTTTCCAGCCAAGAAACCAGGTACGGCAGAACATCGTTGGACCTATTTTGATGGTGACTGGCAAGACGGAGTTTCAGTCCCCCATGTAACAAACTAGGACATCCACCCCTCCTTCAAGTGCAGGTCCTTTCAATGCATGCATTTAAACAATCCAGCTGTGAATTGTAGTGAGACTCACTACCTGCCAGTCCAACACACCCACAGCAAACTACCAGTAAAGTGGTTCTTCCTCTGTGGAACTAAGGCCTTCTCCTACATCCCCGTTAACTCTACTGGGGGCCCCTGGACTTTTGGAAGGCTCACCACCTTCCCACCCCAGAGACAGGACCTGACTGATTAACCTCATTACCGAGGTACCTGGGGGAGTTGGGCGGCCGGGGGAGAGGGCTAGTGCTTTCCCCTAACGGCCGCAGTAATCTACATCTGTTTAGCCCAGCTGAATATGTTGCCCTACCCCTTTTTGTGATGCCTGCTAATGCCATGACCCTAAATGTGGAAGTCAGCAGCCTTGCCTGTGCAGTAGTGAAAACCCTTAATGCCACCTCCCAGCAATCACTGCCGTAAGTATAAAACTAGGACAAGTGCCGGAAAGCAGTCCTGAAAACAGGGCTGCAATTGACCACCTGTTGCTAAAACATAATCAAGGATGTGAGGAATTTAAAGAGCTAAGGAGCTCTGGTAGCGTAGTGGTTACGAATCGGGCTGCGAACATCAAGGTCAGCGGTTCGAAACTACCAGCCGCTCCGCGGGAGAAAGATGAGGCTTTCTACTCCCGTAAAGATTTACACCCTCGGAAACCCTATACAGGGTCGCTATGGGTCGGAACCGACTCGACGGCACTTAACAACAACAACAAAGGAGCTCTGGTAACGTAGCTCTGGTAACGTAGTGGTTAATCGGGCTGCGAACCGCAAGGTCAGCAGTTCAAAACTACCAGCTGTTCCGCGGGAGAAAGATGAGGCTTTCTGCTCCCGTAAAGATTTACAGCCTCGGAAACCCTGTACAGGGTCACTATGAGTCAGAACTGACTCCACGGCACATAACCACCACCATGCTGTTTCAACCTCTGATAATTCCCAGTTAGTAGAGCAAAAACTGCATGACGTCAAAACAGTGGAACAGGATAGCAAGCAGAGAGGGCGCGTCTTTGGGATCAACTAGGGTGGTTCTCATGGCTCCCTAATCTTAACTGGTTGAGGGCTCTCACTGCAGAAACAATCTTATTCCTAGCCATTGGACTACTAGCCTGCTGTTGTCGCTCTTGTATGAGAGACCTCTTGTATCTGAGGTCTTGCTTGCCCTATCCCCATGGAAGTCAATCCAGAAGAGCGTGCACTTGACCTAAGTAATTACTCCCACTTGAAACCAGTCTCATAGGTATGAGGCTAATCAAATAACAGTGGGGAACAAGAGAAGAATTTTAATAGGTTTTTGGTCATATATGTCTGAACCTGAACCTTTTAAATCATTGTTCCCAATCATTACTGCCCTAACTTTTCCCTTGTGTATGTGCTCCCATGGAGGCTGAATGATTTAGTGCTGTGTTGGTAATTAAAGCTTAGAAGAAATAAGCAAGCAAGCAAGCTAGGAAGAAAACCAGGAAGATGTGACCTCACAATGCAAAGGAAAGAATGTGTCTGGAGCCCAGATTTCTTCGCTAACACCACACTTTGAAGTGGCAAGAGGGAGTTACTCCCAGGGGGTAAGGGACCTTGAGCTGGTGGAGTGCAGATTATACTCCCAGGTGGGATAGACATCACATTCTGAGAAAGGAATGTGACAATAACAATTAAATTGATGCCCAGAAAGGTCTAAGAACTTCAACCATATGGGGGAAGCTAAGACAGTCTTTGAGAGATATCTCACTGTCTTCCAGATCTGCCAATAAAACGTATGTTGATTCATATCCCATCTCTGTCATAGGCTGCAGCAGCTGGACCTTAGGTCCAGTCACAAGATAGTGGTGGTTGTGTGCCATGGAGTCAGTTCTGACTCGTAGCAACCCTCTATAGTTTCCTAGGCTGTAAATTACGAGGAGCAGAAAGTCTCATTATTCTCCCAAGGAATGG